AGAGAGAGAGAGAGAGAGAGAGAGAGAGAGAGAGAGAGAGAGAGAGAGAGAAATACCACAGTCGATAGCTTGATTATAGAAATGGCATACAGGGAAAGACTTGGGACAATTTCAAAAGAATAAAAATTGTCCTGGCTCTACTTTTCAATCTTTCTTTCTTCTCACCTCACAGTGATGCCAACATCTTCGTCAAGGACGACGAAGATTTCATCGGTGATGTCTATAAGAAGGCGGTGTACAGAGAGTACACAGATAGCAGCTTCACTACCAGGAAAACACCACACCAGAGCGACTTGCATCTAGATCTGCTGGGACCTGCTATCAGAGCAGAAGTCGGTGACACAATCAGGGTTCATTTCAAGAACATGGCGTCTAGACCATACTCCGTCCACACACACGGGCTGCGATATTCGTTAGTGGCTTTCTTCTTTTCTTTTTGTCTGTCGCTTTAAAAAGACATAAAAGACTGAGTATAGCCGTCCTGTTTCACTACCAGTCCGTTACTTTTCTGAAGTTTCTCAAGGTCCCGCCGTTGATGGGAAATGACCAGATGAGATGTACTTTGCAATTTCGGGCTACCTCGTTCAATGTGTTCAGAAGGAAATCATTGTATCTCTTTTTTACTTCTGGTTGTCCTCCCCTTGCTCTTGTTCTTTTTTGTGATTAATTAAAAACCATTTATCATAGACTCGTGACCACATGCAGTTATAATTAATGGTTGTGGACAGAAAAACATGTATATGGTCAAAACTTTGAATAGAAGCACGGTTGTGCGCACTTTTGAATATGTCCAGTCTGTTAGAATTGTATAATACATGTATTTTTAATATACGTTAATGGCTTTGAACAGTTAAATTTTATTTGAGTTGTTGAAAGCTGTGAAGAGATTCATAATATGAGTACTTTAAAATGTGTTCATTTTGCAACCTTCTTTTCTTTGAACAATGCTAAAATAGAAGTTCGTTCTTGAGACCTGCACCATTCCATCTCATCCCGTTTGAAGGGGATACTAATTAAAATGTTAATGTTACAGCTGCGAGAAGTATAGAACTTGGGAATTGTTTTACAGTACTATTATAATCTACTGCGGCCACAGCTATGAGTCTGGGTGGAAAATTATGCATACTAATACTATAGAAGAAAGGAGCTCTAATAATCCCTACCCTTAACAATCCATGGCGACCGTACTTCGATCTTTATTCCTTCCCACAAGGTCGTAGGAATATCAGATCTCATTTGAGCCTGGCAAAAAAAAGCTGCCTGTTTGGGTTTTTGTCATGTGCAGCTATGTGGTGTGACCCCGACACCTTTCACTGTCACTGGCACAACATTACAGATCTTATGCACTGTTGAACGCGACAAAAGTGCGAGATTGTTTAGGTTTAACGCACATTGCAACACTGTACGAACCCCAAATATTACGCCCACCACCGATCTGACGAAGTCAAATTGAGACAATTCGTTCTAAAGTGCTTTTTCCTAGGTCACAACGTCCGTCCGAGCTGGGCCTCATACCCCCAGCAATCTCACGATTACAAGTCTGGCAGCCTAACCATTAGACTACCGACGTCCGATTCAGTGCGACACTACCCATGAAAGTATAATATCTACGAGATAACTTTTATCTTCTTTACAGCTGGTGGAATGAGTACATGCAATACAATTACCACTCCTCCTTCTTTCCTTCGTTTCTAAATTCTGAGATGAGAACATTTTTACTCTTGTTCCCACTCAGAGAGGCAGATAGTGGCGCCAACTACAAACAGAACCAGGGGGTGACACCTGGTCAGACTAAAGTGTACACCTGGGAGGTGCCCGAGAGGTCCGGGCCTGGCCCCAAGGATCCGAACTGTATCCCGTGGGTGTACTACTCTGCCATTGACCCAGTGAAGGACACAAACTCAGGATTGATTGGCATGACTGTTATATGCAGGTCTGGAAGTTGTAATTAACCTTTTCAAAACTAGAAAAGTCTAGCAATATGCTCTGTCCAAATATTAATCTTATCTTGGTGCTATTGATGTCTACGCCTCTTTGAGCAAACTACGTTGTAGTTGCTGCTATAATTTATTTAACAAATCTTCTAAACTGTACAATGGCAATAAAATTCTTTTGCATTTCCATGCTTTTTAAAATTTTCCTTAGTGACAAGGTTTCAGGGCTAGTCTTCATACTACTATAACTATTTAAAAGAGGGTTTACAATGATTTTGACAAGTACACAGAGGAAAAGAAAAATGCTCGCTGAAAACGATAATTGAAATGTATGTAAACCTGAATAGTCCTTTGGTACCCGAATTGAGTCAATGCCATGCTTTAATCAGTCTCTGGCCAATTTTTCAAAATAATTTGAATTTGCTTACTTAATAGATATTTAAAGGGAAAGTGGGAAAGAGTAAGCGGATTTATGTAAAAGTCAATTACGACTTTGTATATGAAACTAGACGATGTATGAGATAGCTCTGTCTATGAAAACAAAACCTTCCCGTCAATTCTGTTAACAAAAGGAGGAACTGATTACGCCTGCAGTTTTTGTGAAGCCCTTAGAAGAAGACACCAATGAACTGAAATACGCGCCCCCAACAAAAAAAATAAAAAATAAAAAA